AAACATGGCTAGGCATGATCTAAATTAATACATCTAAATTGGAAGTTGTCATTATTTCTATTATAAAATGTTGCCAGGATGATTTGTATTGATACAAGTTAGCTCACAAATTCAGAACGCTCAACACCGACCATGTTTTTTATCATTATCTCTTATTATTCAGTTTGGAATATGGCCCATTACTGTAAAATTCATCCTTTATGTTCATTCATTCGTTCATTTAATAATATCATAATTTATAGTATATAACTGTTAAGTGCCAAGCACTTAACAGGAGTTAAGTAAGTAACTCCTAGCATATAAATGGATATAATTTATAGTTTAGTGGGGATAGGACAATGTAATTATAATGATAATTAGGCAATGATAATTAGAAGGCAGTATAATAATTGTTTCACTGAGAATTTGTACTCCATACAGTAGGAGGTAGAAGGACCATTTAGGTCTGCCTAGGAGGCTGGGGAAAGCTTCATAAGAATTGTTTAAGGAAGTATTTGAAGGTTAAATAGTTCTGTAGGATATGAGAAAGGGGCATACAAAAGAGGGAATAATATATACAAAGGCACAAAAGCAGGGGAGAATTAAAACTACTGGCTTAGTGTTTCAGGAATTTTTATATTATGTGAAGGTCAGTGAGTGACAAGAGTGACAAGTTGAGGCTGAACTGAATTATCTGCAGCAGAATTTTTTTATTATAAAAATATTGAGGGGTGCCTAGGTGGCTCATTCAGTTAAGTCTCTGACCCTTGGATTTGGCTGATACCATGATTTCAGGGTCATGGGACTGAGCACAGCATTGGGCTCCTTGCTGGGCAAGCTTGTTTAAGATTCTCTTCCTCTCCCCCGCCCCACCTCTCTCTCAAAAAGAATAAAAAAAACCAAAAAAACAAAAAAACATTTCTCTACAGACTGAGCCAACAAGCACCCCAAGCTATGTTTTCAATAATTAAAGAAGGCCTTGCTTTCTCTAAAGCTTGGCTGATTTTTATAGCTTTATTATTTATTCCTTCTGATTTTTAGTGTTTTTTTTTTTTTTAAAGACAAAATGATAAATTATGTTTTCATTCTGGCTAGTGGGTTATACAAGGCTATTTGCATTTAACACACAGTTTTCATTCCGTAGAGTTATGGGAAGGTGACTATGGTATCACTAATTAAGTTATTTTAGGGTATCAGTAAATTAAATTCACATTCTCCCTTCTCAATTTAAAGGCGTTGCATATAAATTCAAGGAGCTTGAAAAGATTGAAGAGGGCCACAGACTGATGATTGGTGGAAAAGAAGTAGAAGTCATGGGTGTAATCTCTCCAGATGATTTCAGTAGTGGCAGATGTTTTCAGCTTGGAGGAGGAAGCTCTGCTATTTCAAGTTCTTCTCAAGCTGCCACGAAGTGTTTCTCTAACCCCTTTAAGAGTGTTTGTAAATCAAGTTCAAAGGAAAATAGACCGAGTGGCGTCCAAGATTGCAGACCACGCCATGACCCACATGCTCCAAGTAAGATGTAAAAAATAATTTAAATATTCTGTTTTTACTGTCAAAAAGTATTTGGCATGTGAATTTAAAGTTTAAGTTTTGTTTAAAGTTTTCAGATGAAAGTATGTATTATTCTTCAGGTATATAACTCAAATAAGGAATAATGTTGAAGTTGTATAATATAGTTTGGGAATCATTTTTAAATGTATAATTCTAAGAATACAGTAATGAAAATGTCATATTTGTGTTGAAGGAAAAATATACAAATTGGAGATGTATACACACATACATACGGAAAAATAATCAAATTGAAGATGTATACATATATACACATAAACATATATATATGATTTTGAGTAATATCTAACATCTTCAGCAAAAAGAAATATTAGTCAATTCATGAGTCAGGATTATGTTTATACTTTCTTTTGATGACTGTATGCCTTGATAGCATGCATTAGTGTATTAAAGTGTTAAATGGTGGGATCTTGGGTCAAGAATTTAAATTTTATCATGAGAATTCAATTTAATAAATTAATTTTCACATTAATGAATCTAATTTAAAAATCACATTAAAAAATAAAACCTCTCCTGTTTTTTGTTTGTTTTTTAATTGTTTACTCAACAGGGATTTCTTCAGTGCCTTTTTTTGCATTGAGCCCAGAGGTAAATTGTTATCAAAGATCTTCCCATTTAGTTAGGAGACAGACAAGTAAATTTGAATTATAGGGCAGTGGTTATTGCAGTCAGGGTACAGAGTAGATTGCTTTCATATTAGTAGTAAAATTAAAAGTACATAAAGCAACATAATTATTTTTTGTAAGTATTATGGAGATAGAATTTTTGAAATAAAGGAGTCTTTGAGATCATTTAGTTCAGTCTCTGTGTTTGAAGAAAACTGAAGTCAGAAAGATGAACTGAAATTGTTGAAATTCAAATAATTAGTGATAAATTCAGGATTAAAAACCCCAAATTAAAAGTTCCTAGCTCTATGTGAGCTTATCAGAGACCTAATTGAAAGAGAGAGAAAGATAGATAGAAAGCAGAGAACAGAAAGCTTCTGCTTCTGATTTTTCTTTTTATCCACATTTTTTTTTCTGTCCTGCCATCTCCTTTAACAGGCTTCCTTCTCCTTTATTCTCCTTTCTCTTTGCCTTCCTGTTACATAATACAGGGATGTGGAACCAAAAGAATGATGTGCTTATTCAAAGATCTGACTTGGAGTCCTGATTTTGCCACTGACCTAACTGGTTCTTTACTTCTTGGGGTAGTCACTTACCTCTCTCTTGGCTTTGTCTTCTCAAGTCTAAAATGTGGGTTCTAATTACTACCATAGAGACACAGAGTGCTGCTATATGCTGTGTATAATAAATACTTGTTGACTGAATGAAGTTTTATAGTGATTATATATATGTGGATGTGTGTGTTTGTGTAATATAATAAGAATCCTTTGTGTAAATGCTAATAAGTAGTTGATGATTCTCATTTATTTATCTTGCAAGGGTAGAATTATGTTTTAGGCTTAAAATGAAAACGTGAAAGATTCTGTAATCACTAAGTGATGCTTCCTTATTGCGAAGGTAGAGAGAGAGGCATCTTAAAATTTGGACTGGTGTCCCATTATTGTGGTGGTTTAAGTTTTATCTTTCTTGAAGATGGATGCTTTGTTAGTTGGCTTAGATTCTATAGTCCTTCTTATTTCAGTAGTGAATTATCCTCACCTCTGTCTTCCCTTTTCCGCCTTTGTGTTTTTCAAAAGAGAAAAAAAAAGGGCCCATTTCTTGGTTAGGAACCAACAAGGAATATACTCTTGCTTTGCTATTAGAATACAGGGGAATGCCAAGGGCCGAATTTTCCATTTTCACTCTCCCTAATCCTCTACCTGCCAGGAAGTGACCTCAAAAATAGGAGTTCCTTTTAGTTGCTCAGAAACCCTAGATCCACAGAAAACTTTCCTCTAGGTGATTGGTAATGGTTAAATGTGACCAAACTCTCATTCCTGTGACTGTGTATTTCTGCATTGGTGGATATTTATTTAATTTCCTGGAACCTATTTTCTTTATCTTCCCTTCTCATTTCTCTCCTTTTCTTTTTTCTTTTTGTTTTATTTTGAAAATCTATTACATTTTTTAACTATGATGTAGACATATAAGTATATCCCCCAAATAATTTTGATGAGTTTATTTTCTAACTTTAGATTTATTGAGAACTGCTTTCCAGTTATTTGAATTTGAATTTGTATTTTTGGTGATATTTTAATAAATCCTTTAAATTGTATTAGTATATTTCTACTGAATTACCTTATTATTCTACAGTTACTTTTTTTGCTGCTTTGTAAAGATTCATGAATTTGACATTCATGAACATAGTAATTAAAGCAAATAATTATGGCAAAGTCAATGGAAAATTTGTCATCCTTAATTCTTCTGATTAATAGAAGTAATAGTCATTGTTTGTGTGAACAGAAATGAAGATAATGGGAGCCTTATGTTAAATTTGGGGTACCTTTCTAAAATAAGAAGCTGTGAGCATTAGCAGCTGCAACTTGGCAAAATTCCAACCTGTAGTTTCAGTTGGAGATAGTTCTCTTTGCTCTGAATACTGAACTATTAAATGTTGTGGCTTATTGAATTCTTTACTAAACAATAGTGAATTTTATTGGTTTTGAAGTACTTTGAGGTGTATAAGTTTATTTAGAAAGCTCTTTGAAATTCTCTGCCTGAAATCTTACATCAATAAGACATGAGATTATTATTATTATTTTTTTTAAAGATTTTTTATTTTATTTATTTGACAGACAGAGATCACAAGTAGGCAGAGAGGCAGGCAGAGAGAGGAGGAATCAGGCTCCCCGCTGAGCAGAGAGCCCAATGCGGGGCTCCATCCCAGGACCCTGGGATCATGACCTGAGCCGAAGGCAGAGGCCTCAACCCACTGAGCCACTCAGGCGCTCCAACATGAGATTATTTTTTAATTTTCTTTTCTTGCCTACTATCAGTGTTACTAAATGTCCAGTTTTTTTTTTTTTTGCCACAAATGATAGCAAATAATTATAGGCTATGAGTAATTAAAGCAAGTTAATTACTGACCAAGTGAAATTGCCATACATTAATAGTAAAACTTTCATCTTTTTCTTAAGATTCTCTTGTAATGTCACGACCCAACAATAATTGCCAGTGGACATTCAATAAGAATTGTTTTCCTATTGTGGATGTGGTGATAGATCCTCACCTTGTATATCATCTTCGACCACATCAGAAAGAAGGAATCATATTCCTTTATGAATGTGTAATGGGAATGAGGTAGGAAAATAAATGATTTGTTTAGTCTAATCTGAGTTTTTTGCTGTTTAAAGATTTTTTTTTTTAATTTAAAAGATTTTATTTATTTATTTGACAGAGATCACAAGTAAGCAGAGAGGCAGGCAGAGAGAGAGAGGAAGGGAAGCAGGCTCCCTGCTCAGCAGGGAGCCCGATGCGGGGCTCGATCCCAGGACCCTGAGACCATGACCTGAGCCGAAGGCAGAGGCTTAACCCACTGAGCCACCCAGGCGCCCTGTTTGTTTAAAGATTTGATTATTTTTTTAAAGTAATCTCTCCACCCAACATGGGGCTTGAACTCATAACCCTGAGATCAAGAGTCACATGCTCTACTGACTGAACCAACCAGGCAGGTACCCTTAGTCTGATCTGAGTTGTTTTTTTTTTTTTTTTTTTTTTTTAAGATTTTATTTATTTGACAGACAGAGATCACAGGTAGGCAGAGAAGCAGGCAGAGAGAGGAAGGGAAGCAGGCTCCTCGCTGAGCAGAGATCCTGTTGTAGGGCTCGATCCTAGGACCCTGGGATCATGACCTGAGCTGAAGGCAGAGGCTTTAACCCACTGAGCCAGCCAGGTGCGCCTGATCTGAGTTTTGATTTAGCCTGTAACATAATGGTTTTCTATGGATGCCTGGGTGGCTCAGTCTGTTAAGCATCTGCCTTTGGCTCAGGTCATGATCCCAGGATCCAGTAATGCATCGGGCTCCTTGCTCAGCAGGGAGTGTGCTTCTCCCTTTGACCACCCCCCCCACCCCCCCCCCTTTTTTTCTGAAAAGAAAAAAAAAAAAAAACTAAAAAAAAAAAGGTTTTCTAGAAAAAGCCTGATATAATGAGTCTCAGTACATCATGAATAATACTTAATGGGTACATTTATTCTTTTAAAAAAAATTAACATATAGTGTATTATTTGCCCCAGGGGTACATGTCTGTGAATCATCAGGCTTACACATTACACAGCACTCATCATAGCACATACCCTCCCCAATGTCCATAACCCAGCCAGTGTGCATTTATTCTAAAAGTGATTCTTGAGGAGGCCTTGTGCCAGACATCCTGCTAGGAGCTCAGCATATAGGAGTCAGGACCATGGTCCCTACCCTTAAGTAGTTTTTAAAATATTTGAGGAAATAGGTAAATATAATCAACCTGAATATGGTACCATAAGAGCTTACGAGTATGAGAAAGGGTTATAGGGGCAAAATGGAAGTAGCCTTTAATTCTGCTTATGGAAAAAACGTTTTCTTCTAGTCTCACTTCTACTTAAAAAAAAAAAGAGCTCCCCAACTCCCTTTTTTGAATTTTTTTTTTTTTTTCAGATTTTATTTATTTATTTGACACACAGCGACCGCATAAGCGGGAGAGAAGCAGGCTCGGGGAGCCTGACGTGGGGCTCAATTCCAGGACTCTGGGATCATGACCTGAGCCAAAGGCAGACACTTAACTAACTGAGCCACCCAGGTGCCCCTCCCCCACTTCCATTTATTTATTCATTCATTTATTTATTTTTTAAAAAAGATTTTATTTATTTATTTGACAGAGAGACACAGCGAGAAAGGGAACACAAGCAGGGGGAGTAGGAGAGGGAGAAGCAAGCTTTCTGCTGGGCAGGGAGCCTGATGTGGGGCTCAGTCCCAGGACCCTGGGATCTTGACCTTAGCCAGATGCCTAACAACTGAGACACCCCGGCAACCTCCCCCCAACTCCCTTTTAAATAGAGCTTTCTGATAAAGAATTGTGGTGTCCTCTCTTAAAGATACTTTAGAGGATACACACAGACACGAAAAAGCCAGACAAAGGAAGTAAAAAAGAATCAAAAGAACCTGCTAACATCTTGTTATATTTCCTTCTAGTTCTTTTTCTTTTGCTTTTAATGCATAGACCTTGATTTTTAAATCGATCATTTAATAGGGAATTGAGATTATAAATTCCCCCAAACTCTTTTTATTTTTTTAAAGATTTTATTTATTTGACAGAGATACGAGAGAGGGAACACAAGCAGAGGGAATGGGAGAGGGAGAAGCAGGCTCCTGCTGGGCAGGAGCCTGATGTGGAGCTCGATCCCAGGACCCTGGGATCCTGACCTGAGCCAAAGGCAGATGCTTAAGGACTGAGCCACCCAGGTGCCCCCTCCCCAAACTCTTAAGAACCCTTTGATGACAGGTTAAGGGAATACTAAATCCCAGAAACTTCTTAGACTCATGTTCTTTCTCAAAATATACTTTTCTTTTTGGAGATTTTGTCTCATTTGGCTGGGAGGGGATCTTTAATTTCTTCTCTTTTATTTTTCAATGTAATCAAACCTGAACTTTTAATTATTTTGAACTCTTAAAGATCTTTGATTCCAGATCTTTTCTAACACCCCACTGCAGCAGTGCTGGTACCTGATGTCATACAATTTTATTTTGTCTGGATTTTTGCAGTAGTACTTACATTTCTGGTTCTGATGCTCCTCAAATTCATTCTACTTATTGCTACCAGCTTGATTTTTCTGAAAAGCAGTTCTGAACATGGCATTCCTTTGCTTAAAATGTTTCAGAGTCTCAGAACTTAGAGCAGTGTTTCCTGATCTATAATTTGCACTTCATTGGTGGGATGTGGGATCATTTTAGGTGGACATGGACAAGCCTTGTTTTTTATTTTATTTTGTTTTATTTAAAAAAATTGAAGAATTTTATTTTTAAACAATCTTTTTTTTTTTAAAGATTTATTTATTAGTCAAGAGAAAGAGAGAGAGAGAGTGCAAGTGTGTGTGGGGAGAGGGGCAGAGAGAGAGGGCTCTGCTGAGCGTGGAGCCAGATGTGGGGCTCCATCTCATGACCCAGAGATCGTGACTTGAACCGAAACCAAGAGTCGGATGCTTAACCTGACTGAGCCACCCAGGTGGCTCTGTCTGTCATCTCTATACCTAATGTGGAACTCGAACTCACAACCCCGAGATAAAGAGTTGCACACTCCACCCACCAAACCAGTCAGGAGCCCCACACCTTGTTTTTAAATTCCGATAGTAACATATTTAATTAGTGAATTATTAGAAAAAAGTAGCATATTAAGTCCTTGGTTTCATGGATTTATTATGCTTGGAATTTTAAAATAAATCTAAATAAAAAGAAGTTGACTTAAAAATAAATGATAACACCTGTGGTATCACATATAGCAAAATTAGTGGTGTTTGGGAGACTAATGTTTGGGAGACACCTGCAAGATGCAGTCTGAACCTTCAAGAATAAGTATGCCTGCTGTCTTTAGTCTCTTCCTATCTAGCCAGGTTCATAGCCTTTGTGTTTCCTTGCTTGGAATTCAGTTCAAGCTCCAAATATGTTGAACTACTTGATTCATGTAATGAACTATTTACCTTTGAAAAGGGCCATCTTTTCAATGAAGCCTTCCTGCTTTCTTCCTTCCACTGTCGAAGGACGGATCACTATTTTCTCTCTGCCACTCACTACATCTCAGTTGGCATTTGGTCTTGCACTGTCACAGTGTTGCTATAAAATGATAATAATGGGGTGCCTGACTGGCTGGTTTAGTTGGTAGAGCATGCATCTCTTGATCTCACAGTTATGAGTTTGAGCCCCAATGTTGGGTGTAGAGATTACTTAAAAAAAAACCCCAAAATCTTAAAAAAATGATAATAGAGGCATCTGGCTGGCTCAGTCAGTTAAGTGTCTATCTTAGGCTCAGGTCTGATCCTAGTGTCCTGGGATTGAGCCCTATGTCAGGCTCCTTGCTCAGTGGGGAGCCTGCTTCTCCCTTTGCCTGTTGCTCCCCTTACTTGAGCTCTCTCTCTCACTGGCAAATATATAAAATCATTTTAAAAAATGATAATAATGGCTATAGTTCATGTTTGTGATTTTTTTTCTGTACTTTGAAATGGAAAGCATAGTTAATTTTTGGTTATTATTTTTACTAATAAGAAAATGGGTTAAACTATAATAAAACTGTACTTATTTTAATTTAAATTCCAGTTAATATATAGTGTACTATTAAGTTTCAGGTGTACAATTGAGTCATTCAACATTACTTTTTGTTTTTTTAAAGATTTTACTTTTTTGACAGAGAGAGTGAGAGAAGGAATATAAGCAGGGGGAGTGGGAGAGGGAGAAGCAGGCTTCCTGCTGAGCAGGGAGCCCGATGAGGGGGTCAATCCCAGGACCCTGGGATCCTGACCTGAGCTGAAGGCAGATGCCTAACGCCAGCCACCCAAACACCCTTCGTCATTCAACGCTACTTTTTAAAAAAATTTATTTTTTAATATTTAAAAGATTTTATTTATTTATTTGACAGAGAGAGAGAGAGATCACAAGTAGGCAGAGAGAGAGGGGGAAGCAGGCTCCCTGGCAGAGAGCCAGAAGCAGGGCTCAATCCCAGGACCCTTGAGATCATGACCTGAGTCGGAGGCAGAGGCTTAACCCACTGAGCCACCCAGGTGCCCCTGTCATTCAACACTTCTATATAATGCCTGGTGCTCATCACAAGTACCCTCCTTAATGCCCATCACCTATTTCACCCATTCCCCCATCCACCTCAGGTCTGGTCACCATCAGTTTGTTCTCTGTAGTTGAGTCTGTTTTTTGGTTTGCCTCTCGTTTCTTCCCCCATGTTTGTTTGTTTTGTTTCTTAAATTCCACACATGAGTGGAATCAACATAACTCATCATTAGGGAAATACAAATCAAAACTATAATGAGGTAACCACCTCACACCTATCAGAATGGCTAAAATCAGCAACACAAGAAACAACAGGTGTTGGCGAGGATATGGAGAAATAGGAACACTCTTACATTGTTGGTGGGAATGCAAACTGGTGCAGCCACTCTGGGAAACGGTATGGAGGTTTCTCAAAAAGTTAAAAATAGAACTACCTTATGATGAAGCAAATATTTGCCTAAAGAATATAAAAATACTAATTCAAAGGGATACACACACCTCAATGTTTATAGCAGCATTATCTACAATAGCCAAATTATGGAAACAGCCCAAGTGTCTATTGATTGATGAATGGGTAAAGAAGATGTAATGTATATACACAATGGAATACATTACTCTGCCATAAAAAAGAATGAAATCTTGTCATTTGCTATGACATGGATGGATTTAGAATATTATGCTAAGTGAAATAAGTCAGAGAAAGAACACGTACTTATTTTTGGTACTATACTTAGTTCCTTTGGACTGTATAACTTAAAGTATATATAAATAGATGACTGGGTGGCTCGGTTGGTTAAGTGTCTGCCTCT